CGGCTGGACAGGGTTTTGTCACTGCCAGCTGTATTGAACATCACCCATCTCTTCCGCCCGGCTTTTTCTATGCTTCTTTCCACTGGGCGCTTGTATAAAGAAAATACAACGCCTTTTGGTACGCCAGCAAGGTCAAGGCTCCAGGCTCTGTGCCTGCCACTTAAAGCAGCTGCTCTCGCGCGTCAGGCTCAAGAAGGGGTTAGAAATGAGGTCGCCCTAACTTCCTGGATGTAGATGCTCATCACGCGGTGACTTGCCCACCGGCCCCGCACGACAAGCCCCCCACATTCTGCGGTTTGTAGGAGGTGGGTAGCACCCCGTGGCCTCAGTGACCCCAGGTCTGGAGGCTTGACACCTTTGAAAGCAAAAGTTGGTAGCCGCAGCGCTTCCATCATAGAACGAAACCTGGCTTTGAGGGTTTGACCTCTTCCTCCCCAAAGTGGTTCAGCAGATTGTAGCCGGCTGAAAGCTAGCTCAACTGTCGCGGCGGCGCGCTGTCGTGTGCCCACCAGAAACAAAGCGGACACTGTGATTCACGTCTGAAAGAAGCTGTAGGTGGCCGCGTCTTGCATTCAGCAGCACGCCCGGTCTCAACAAACCATCCCACGTTAGGGCACTGCATCCTGCGAAGCGAACCCATTCCCACGCTAAACTACAGCAGCTAAGGAAACTCAAGAGCACCTGAGGTGGCATCGCTGTGTGGTGACTTGAGGGTTCCAACTTCACCCAGGTGTATGCCAAATCCCACACACCTTGAAGTACCTTGGGGCGCTGGTGAAAAAATATTCAGTGGCCAGCCTGATTGATATAATTCCCGCCCAAAGGCTGAGAGTATTGCGTTGATCTCCTTGACGTTCTGGTACGCGTAGTCGAACAGATCCGAGAAGGGAACACCTCTTTCTTCAACCCACACTCTGAAAGCTTCCAACAAAAATTCTCTGTGTTTCTCTGTTGCGTTCAAAACTGGTCTTTGTGAAGGCAGTGGTGGCCTTAGCTCTCTGGCCCTCGCAAAATCTCCAGCGTTCCTAGGTTTCAGTGGCGCGGCCATGGCAGCGGAAAGGAGGCCAGACCTGCCCGGGAGAAAGAGCAAAGGCCTGATCAAATTCAATGCCAAAATACCCTTGGAGGGAGCTACGAACTTCTGCCATGGGCGGCGCCCGGAACTCATGGCAGTCACGAAAGCTTACCCAATTTGCTGCCCATCTTGTGAGGCCCGCGCTTCGAAAGCAAAATGATCTGCTCCCTATCAAGGGAACCAACTCCAAGGCCCTCGACTGGTGTTCTAAGGCTGATACATCGAGTTGGGTCGTCCGAAGGGTTCAGACGAGTAGGGCAAAATGGAAAGCACAAGAACCGTTGTATTGATTTTTGCAATTACAGGCATCAAACCCCTGGAGGCAGCTCTGCCCTTTGACACGGCACATCGAACAACAATTGAATCTACCAAAATGGACGTTCTTTGTGTTTTTTGAGAAGGACTCAGCGACACGGAGAACGGAGATGGCTTAAAAGGCCAGCTCTTTGCTACCTGCCAAGGTGCTTTCAGTGCAACCTGGTTGACCTGCATGTTCTCATGTCCTCCATATTCGACAGAAAGCCAGTCCCTTTCGGCTCTCTCGCCATCATGGCGTCTTCTAAAATCTCTGCCAGAGCGTCGGCCAGGGCATCAGTGCACATCGCACTGGCCTTTGTGAGGCCATCTTACCACTACATGACGCGCATCACAGGCGCACTGCCTCCTAACTGTTCTGAGAGGCGCCCAGACACTGAGGAAGGCAGAAGGGTTTGAGGTGAGGCGAGTTGTTGAACCTGCAGGAATCCGCCACCGTCCTACAAAAATCTACATTCTCTTTGGCCTGGATGTTGTTGTAGGCTCGCCAAGATTTTTACCTGGGCTGCAAGCTGAGTCACCTGCTCTGGTGGGCTGCATTGGTCAGCCGCTTCGGCGCGGCTTTCTTTCCAGCTGCTGCTGTCTTGGCATGAGGCGATTCTTGCTCTTCTCGGGCGGAGTAAAAATTTAGCCTGGTGTGGCCAAGAGCCTCTGCCCATGTCCAAGGCTGAATATCTTCCAGGGCGTTAGTAACCGGGTCATACCCGCAGATGGCCTGAAGCGCCGTGTCCGACACATCAACCAGCAAGACCTAAGCTTCTTGGTCCAGGGATGGTCCGGTCAGGTCCTGATCGTCGGCTGACTGAGCTGCAAGTAGTGATTCCTCTGCGAAAGATTCGATACGCATTGCAATCAAAAAACCTGAGTCCCTTGACAAAATCGGCAAAGCAAAACACTGCACCTTTTCCCCCGACTTTGAAAACTCGGAGGGGAGCGAGAATACTATAGTAGACTCGCTTCGCCTACTTCTGGGCATCTGAGGGCTGCCTTCCGCATCGCTTCAAAGGCGGGATGCAGACCCGAGCTCCAACGCAAAAAGTGTTGACTTCAATGAAAGACGAAAATTCCTCAGTGATGGCCGATCCCTCCCCTGATCGAAGGAACCTTAGTGCTTCTCTTTGGATGCGGTCCGAACAGGATCTTGGAGCCCAGCACCTCGCAACACCACCCAGTGAGCACTGGGCAGATGTGGGACGGAGCTAGCTGGTCTGTAGTGACCACATGTCTGAGTTGCCACCCAAGCCTCGTGACCTTGAGTGAAAGCTGGCTTTTCCAGATCCGAGACACCGATGGGCAAAGTGCCCTCCTCCATGACTTCCCACTCTGGAGGAGTAACTGGCAATCTAATCTCACTAAGGCGCTGACTCAAAACCGAGACTCGATGGCCGAGCCTTGCTAGGTCTTCCTGAGCACCCTAAGCTCTTCCACAATTGAGGCCAAGGCGGGATCAGTGCTCATGCAAATAGCCCTGGAGGCGAGAGGATCGAGGTCCTGCCCTGACTGGAGGAGGGTGTAGCCAGAAGCGGAAGGAAGGATAGTGCCACAAGATTGCTATGCCAATGAAGGTCAGGACAGGAATCAGAAGGCAAAAACGGGTGGCCACCTCAAAGAGAAAGGGGGCCAAAACAGACGGGTGGCAATGGGCCGGGCAGGCCAGATAGGAACTGGCCTGAAGAAGAGGAGTGGAAATGCCGGCTGTCCACGTTTCCATGAAGCTTGAGAGAAAAAGTTGCATGGTCGTATATACCTGTCAGTCCCTAAATAATACCAAACCCCAGAAAATAGGATTTAGCCTGTCTTCCGCAAGGTCAACCCCAAACAGGACATCTACCGGAATCTACCGTCTACCACGTGGGCAGCACAAGAGACCAGCCAACAAAAAAGCTCATAGATCTGGAAACCCTGACCCAACGGGATCCGATTCAATGCGTGGTTGGGAACAGCAGGAAAAGTCATGTAACTGCATGTTCATGTATAGAAAGGGAGGCGCTCATGAAGACAAAAGGGGCACTTACCTTGCAACACAAATATATATAATGCAGTCGTCGGATTAATCAACGGGCCCCCCCCCCCCTAGAAGGTCAACAAGGTCACCAAGGTCTGAGATTGGAGGTTTTGGAGATCACATCTCCCTAATAGTGGGGATGACCTGATGATGACAGGAGGAGGAGATGAGATGGGATGGAATGATGAGATCCATGAGAGCCCAAATACTAATTCCCTTTCATCATGAGATCCATGAGAGCTTATTGGCACAAATTTGATGAGAGATGGCATGGGAAAAGAGTGGATCAGAAGATCAGTTTCACCATGGACCAAAAGATATTGAAAAGGCAAAAAGAACAAAACTGATTAAACACACATATATTTGAATATTTATATTTTTCCTGGGGGGACAGGGGGTAGCCTAATAGGGGGGGGTTCAGCCAAGCAAAATTTTTGTGACTGTGGAAATTCATAGTTCAAATTAGTTTATTATTGGGGCCTGAACGCTGGGTAGACTAATAGGGGGGGTGGTTAATCCTATGATGGCATTATATATTATATATATACAGTATATAAAAACCAGTGCGGAGCCAAAGGGTGGACTGAGCTATTCAAAAAGGACAAATTAAGAAAACTTCGGACGACTGACTTCCTTGTGAAGGCCGGCGGCTGGAGAATGGCCGGACGAACGCCCACTCTTAGATCTCTCAGCTTTGGGCATATGACATGTCCGAGTACCGGGTTTCTGCCTAACCGTTTATCGGGTTTGGTTTCATATGTTTCCCACCTTTTCACAAAGGTCCCTCCTCCAACTGTTCCTCAGTATCTCTTCAGATGGGAAACGAAGGTGAAGAAAACGGCACCGGCAAGAAAGAGCCGTTTCGCAAAGCTTAGCGTCACTGGACCGAAGCTAAGCGTCACTGCGTTTGAGTGACGGTCTCACACAGTCAGTCACTGAGTTTCAGTCCACGTCACTGTCGAAAAGGCCCAGATCGAAGCGCGTCACGCTGCTGGATGCAGTGTCTGAGCGAGTAGCTTGGGTCAGTGTAAACATGTAGTGTAAAGTGTAAACCAATGAGAAGCCCTAGCTGGGACCTTGCACTGATGCATCTCTTTGAATGAGCCCGTTGTTTTTTTGGTCACAGTACTGTTCAGCAAAAGAGCCAAGATGGAAAAAATCCAACAGCGACAGCAACAAACACCTGTCCAGAGAACCGCAGTAATCTACAAAACACTTCATCTATCTTAATCACTGATGGTGGGCCCTGCATGTGTTCACCCGGTGAACTCTTCGTTAGCCAAGCAGCTAGGCACCAAGTAGCCATACCTCGGTGGTAGGGACCCTCCAAGAAGCACACTGGAGAAGCATGGAGAAGCGGCAAGCGGGCGTCACCCTACATTCATACATACTCTGGACATATCAACTTTAGCTTAACGTCCTGGTGTTAAGCTTGCTTGCACACCCAAGGTCGATAAAGTGCGAGCCTTTTTCATAAATCCGCGTGGTTGGTGAAGTGAGCTCGCATTCGTGAAACAGGATTTGGGCCTGTAGTTCTGCATCCTAAGGCGAGCCATGGCCAAAAGCCTATCAACAATCTCTTGTTATTGCTAAAAGGTTTTTGTCAAGGAACTTTGGTTTTTCAATGGCCTCAATCCTTCGGGCGACGGCCGGGACCCATATGCCACTCAGAACTTCTCAGCCTGGGAAGCGTGCAAGTGAGGTCACTTGAGGTCACTTGCCATGCATCTCCTGTACTTTCATCATCTTGTCCTTGGCCTCTTGTAGTTTTTTCTGTGTCTCCAACATCATCTGTGCCATCATCAGCATGGGGTTCATGGGAGCACCACCAGCTGAGCTGCTAGCATCGGCATTGGCATTGAAGAATCCCGCGTTTGGAGGCATTTGACTGGAAGAGGAGGCGCTTGAACTCGGCTGAAAAAAGCTGCCCATGCTGGAAGGCTCTGAGGCAACTGATGCGCTAGTGGTACTCCCCATCGAGTGGAAATCTTGGAACTGGGAGGAGCCACCATATCCATAGTTGGCCTCAGGTGGCAAAGCCACACCAGGGCCTTCCAAACCTTCCTCTGCAGCCATCAACGCAGCTCTTCGAGCACGTTGAGCTTCCTCAGCTTGCGCCTTCTTCAAGGCCTTCTGCTCGGCTTGCTTCTCTTTCCGTGCATCCCGCCGCTCAATCTCCAAATCAACCTCTTTTTGGAGGTACTGGAATCGTAGGACCTGGGTGTATGTGGCCCGGATATCACTGGCACTGTATGGACCACGCTTCTTCTTGGACATCACCATGTTCTGATAATTCTCCTCCTGCTTCAAGTCATGCTTTCGTTGGTAGAGCTCCTCCAGGCTCAGCTTCTCCAAGTTTTGTGGCTTCACTTTCTTCGGCCGAGGAATATCTTCATCATCCAAAAGGCCTGGTCGTGGCCGTGCCCCGCCCTCTGCCAGGCTCCTTGGGGCAGGCCCCCCTCCGGGCCCTTGATCTTCGTACTGTCTTTTCTTTCCCATTGCGCCAATCTTCTCTGGGCTCGACTTTTTCAAGCTTGAGCCTCTAGTTATCAAACATGGCCATTCAAGCAACGCTTCGACACGCTCAGGCTGTTATAGCTAGACCGATTTACTTGGCTGAGATCGCACCTGTGGAAGGGTCTGAACTGATCCTCTGTGCAACAAACATGGACAAAGCTGGTTCCATCTTTCATCTCTGTCGAAAGGACCGATTCGCACCAACTTGGTGCCCAAAAAGCAGCCAAAGCACGTGCCGTCTGTAAAGCCTCCAGTGAAGCTCGAGCCTCCAACGTCCAAACTTTCCACCTCAAGCAAGTTGTGGCCTCCACCTCACCTTTCCAAACCAAACTCTGGGTGAATGACTTCAGGATGGGAGTTTGAGACATCCAATATACTAGTTACTAGTGGCTAAGCATCGGCACAAACACTGTATCTCCACCAAGCTGCCTGCGAAATTGTCATCAGGTCCACACGAAAGAGCTTCGACGCTGTAGGCAACTCGGCGAGATGGACAATGTGAAAGCATGCAATTTGCGCAGAGACTTCCATAGTGTGTATCACCATAGACTTCATCATGCCAACTTTTCTCACACAAGTCAAAGGCTGCAAGTCAGAAGTCGAACCTGAATCGGAGAGTCTTGTTGCCATGCCTTCTTTCAGTGCAAGGAATCGCAAACTTCTTGAAGTAACACTTCGTTCGACGCACGAAACCCAAGGCGCCAGGTAGAGCCAGGACTCGTCCGCGAAGATCTTCCTGGGTGCAAGCACAGCTTTTCGAGAACCAAATCACCGACCCACTTCCATGGTCCACAGATTGCGCAAACGCTGCAGTGGATAAAGCTGCGAGTTTAGCTGGGCGTGCTCGTGACAAATCACTGCAATACAAAGGGCTCTTAGTTGGCATGCCACGCCTCTGCAAGGGATAAATTGTGCATCCGTCTTTTTGATCCCTCTCAAAGGAAGTTGACCCTCTTCTACCCACTCCACTTTTCAGGGAAACAACCATGACTACTAAGCTTGTGGTTCACAAATGCCTCCAACTTCTCTTGCTTCCTGTCAAGTGAGTGTCGTGAAGGTGGCCATGCTGAAGTCCATGTCGGTGGAGTAGACATCCATGTAGAAGCTCACTTCCCTTGCCTTGGCTAACCCATCTTGCAGTTGTGCTGCATTGGGCATCTCTCCGAAGCTCCTGATATTAATGAGGTTTATATGTGGTTTCCCATCTCAAAAGGAGTCCTGGTTTTCCGGTCAGAGAACCTCAAAGTTCACTTCGCAGGGTCGCTGCTCAAAAAAGCACTTGAAACCGACCAATGTTCATCTTTGCAAAGAACATCGACCACGCTCATTCCCCACTCTCGCCCTCCAGGCCCTCGGGCGGTGTTCTGAACACATGCGCTTGGGCCTGGCTGTATTCAACCAACTCCACTGAGTCTCAGCACTGAGTCTTGGGCCACTTGCAAAGGGTTGAGGAGACAAGCAGGATGTTCGAAAGCTGGAAAACACGAAAGCACTGGAAACCAATGAGTGAACCAAGGTGAGCAGGTGAGCTGAAGGCTTATGGTTCATCTTCAATTACAGAAATCTGCTCACCAGGTAAACTGGCAGAGTTGTCCTCATGCATCCAAAGTGTCGGAAAATATCGCTGAAGGAAAATTAAAGTCTCTATCAACAGAGGCCATGTGACAGATTGTTGGTCTGGAACCACATTCAATGTCCCTGCCTGCGACAGTGAAGTTGATCAGAAACGGGAACTTCACAGCATCGGATGCCGCATCCTGTGAAACAAGGAAGTTGTGGTTCAATTCGCTGAATACAACAATGCTTGTTCCAGCCTTTGCCAACCAGTAATGAAATTTTACCCTTTTATTGCTCCAAGAAGGACTCCAGGTTAACGGATGCTGGTGTACAGTCCTTCAGGTGGCTTGTGGGAAAGCCTGATTTGCAGCTAGCCTGCTGGTCTACGTTTTTGGTTCTACACCCTAAGGATGTGGCTCATCTTGATAACTTCCTGGAGAAGCTAGATATGTGAGTCTGAGGAGTTGCGGGAACAAAATATTTGGACCCAATGAATTGAAACTGAAGGTTTCGGATTTTAGAGACAAGACCAAGTGAGAATGTGTGCAAACATCAGTGACACTCAAGGTCCCTTCTTGCAGCTGTCCCCTCCCTTTTCGCACCTGTGCACTGTAGATCTGGCTGCTATCCATCTCCATCAAGGACTGGCAAGAGCTGGGTCCATCGGAGTCCAGAAATCCAAAGAAAGCATGTCCAAAGAAACTACAAAAACAAATTACAGTAAATGACCTCTGAAGTCTTCGAACCTGACTCAATGCCAAGCAACCCATCCGATATACATGGTGTCAGTTGATCCACCTCAGCACAGCTGTGGGGTAGAAAAGCCATGAAAGCATAATATAGCTCATGGTTGACTGGGAAAGCTCACATGTCAGCCCATCAAAACGGCTTGCTACCGCTCAGGAAATATTTCAAAGCTTGAAGCTGCAGAATATGCTCTTCAACTTGCAGAGTCTCACCAGTGTTTTTTGTCTCTAGCCTGCTCAAGGCTTCTGCTGAGCGGGCAATCAACGATACCGCTGAAGATATGAAGTCTTTCGAAAGCCAGTCAGGATTACCAACAGTCATAAGACTACTTATGAATCAAGCCCACACATGAAAGTGAATCACAAGCTTCCGGTCCTTACAAAGACTCATGGCTGAATTCTTTAAGATCTGGGTAGGAATTCAAGGGTCAGCCACTCCGCAAAACATTCTAAAGCCTCAGCCTGAGTTGCAGCCAGGGAACCCGTTAGGACGGAGAAAAGCCTCAGACGCAGTAGATGGTCTGATGCAAAGGCAAAGTGGTAACTTTGTATGGTGTCGTCCACTTCTTTTGCCTCCAAATGCTGCACATCCCAAACTCGCAAAGACCCTTGATCCAGCACTCTTGCCAATATTCAAAGGTTTGCCAATTCTAAGTTCGCTCTCAATCAAGCCACAGGTCATCACCCACGTAAGCCTGAGGTGCGCAGTGGTCAAACCGCAAGACTCTAAACAAATGCAGCCATTGGCATACCCCCGAACCCCGTCAGAAAGTGCTGTGTTAAGATATGCTCGATCCCACATCCAAACGCAATTAGGACGTGTAAGTCTCACATTGGAGGCATATCCAAGTACTGCTGCAAAACTGGAGACAAAGCAAGAAAAGCCCTTTCTGCCAGATACAGTTTCCCTGTCCACAGCTGCAAACTGCTTCATTTGAAACCTTTGATTTGGGCTACCCGGCTACCAACAGTTTGGTCTTGAAATAACAAATACTCAGCTTGGCACTGGGAGCAGGTCGACCTGCCCGGATACACTACTCGGCAGGGTAGCAGAACCGATCAGCAGGCCTGGCGGCACAGCCGAACATCTGTGACGGCACGAAGAACCATTAAACAGGAAGGCGGAGAGAATGCCAGTGACACACCAGGGTCGATGAACAGTTAAAAGTTAATGGAAGTCTTTAATATAAGTTGCATGGTCTCCAACGGGTCTGATGATGAGGTTGACGTGTTCTTCTTAGGAACCTTTGGGGCCTTCAGTGCAACAAATTGCAACAAAAGGCTCTTTCGCATTTTGGGAGGCAGGCAGTGCTTGAAAGAATGCGCTCGTGACGGTAAGGGCATCCCTATGCGCGCTTTCTCTAAATGGAAATCGGAAGAGGCTGACAAGCGCGGACAAGCCGACTGGACCGAATTCCCACACGATTGCGCCAAAACCAACCACTCCATCGGCTCAGGTGGCCATCGAACGGCGCAGCTCTTTTTCCAGAGCTTCACACTTGGCAGCTCTTGGGAGGGTGGCGGCATGGCCACCGCCAGCGTGAAGGGATGGGACCTGAGAGACCGGTGGTTGCGAGTGATCGACCACAGAAGAATGTGGGCAAACTTACAGTAAGGGGAAGCCTACACCAGGTGGTGAGGCCGTTGCTTGCATCAAAGAGATTATATACTCCAAATGCAAATCAAAATCAGTACCAAAAGCACACAAAAGCTTCTGAAGCAGCCAGAAACGACTGTTGGACCTGAAAGAACCTTTCCTTCAGCATGTCGTGGACAAAAGGCATCAAGCGTCTGTAAACTCCTCGGTTCAGATCCGGGTTGAGTTTTTGGAAAGGACCTCGGGCTGTCCAAAATCGGTAAGTGAAAAGAAGGGACAGAATACCAGGACATCGCTGTTCCGGCTCAATCTGGGACACCTCAAAAGTCCAAAGCTGCCCAGACGCCCAGTGATGTGAGGTTCATGAGGTTTGCGGTGAGCCCCAGATCGGCGCAAAGGTGTCGCCAACATTGAAACCTCATTCCCTAGTTCATGGGCAGGAGACTTGGCATCCGTCTCAGGTCCAAGAGTCCAACAAAACAAAGTATTTCATTCCATATACAGCCCTCCAAAAAGAAATAGAAAGAATCATGGCTGGAACTGCATGACTCCAATGACCATCCCTTCCAGGCCACTCGTCCGCGGGGCGCCAGTCCTCACCTAGCACCAGCTCTGCCACATCTTTTCGTACAAAGAGAGCATCCCGCGCTGAGAGGCGGTAGAGGCCCAAGCTGTTGGGCCACAGCAAGGCGATGGCCGCCGACAGGGAGCAACCTAGGACAGAGAGGTGATGGCCGCAGCGTCGGACAGTTTCGAAAAGAAACTGATGGCAATGTGACAATGTGTCCTATCAAACTGTCTCATACTCACCCAAACTGACACATGCACCTCGGGCAAAGGTAAGCAAAAGACACTTCACTTGACACCATTCAGCATGCACTTCCCCCCCAATCCCAAACCAAATCCCCATCACACTCACAAAAACGAAGCCGCCTGGAAAGAAGCCACCCTGCCGGGTTGTGCCACCCGAGATGGCTGCATACCCGGACATGTTGGCATTGGCCGAGCGCAAATGCTGCGGGTGGAACTCCGTCAGCACCGAGACCGGCGGTGGAAGAGGCATCACCTCCACCTGGGCGGGGAGTTTAGATCGGGATCCTCCAAATCGGGGTGGAATAGATCCAAAGTCTTGCAGGCATGTGGGCAGATGTCCTCACACAATGAGTTCAAACAAATGACACAGAAGTGCTCAAAATTGATGGAATACCAAACCGAGAAAAAAAAGAACACACGCAGAGCCATACGTCTGTGCAAAGACCCAAACAGTCAACCCTTTCATGCCGAGGTTTTGGTCTGTTGAGTCTGCCCTGGTGACCCAGTGCCTCCCCAAGCACCAAAAAGGGCACTTGCCTATAAGAAGGCACTCAGAAGGTGGCTAGAAGAAGTCTTGCCACGTGATTTTAAAAAAAAAAAAAAAAACCTGTTGTAACAGCATGTAACTGATCATCAAAAGCGGCCTGTTTTCGCTCAGCCACACTGACCATCTTGGGGCTCACGACTCTCAAAACCTCTCGCAGCACTGCACAGTCGAAGGAATCGATGTCGATGCTCAGGGCATCCACATCGATGCGAGCAGCTCGAGCGTCCTGGCCACGGCCGAGTGCGACGACCTAGGCGACGACCCAAACCCAGTTGTGTGATCCTAGACCCACCCCCCTTTTGAAGTAAGATTGAGCGGAGAGTTCCAACATCAGAATGCTTTAGTGAGGTCTAGAATGCAGCATTAAGGCTTTGGATCTGTTTCTTTCCAAGGCTCTACTGCCGCCACTCGCGTCACACCTGCAGACTGGCAGGTCTCCTGGCACCCATTGGATCTCAATTCTGCTGGTGAGCAAAGCTCATCTTGCCGTGACAGAGAGCGACTGGATTTGATAGGCACATATAGTAATAAAATAAGATTCACTTGCGTATCCGTTGATAGCAAGTCCGACAGCAACTTGGAATTGCCTGTGCTACTAGAAAAAATAGCACACCTGTACATTTCTCAGTGAAGGTGAAGGATTGAGAGCAGACCTGAAGGAAGCATGCTGCAAGTTATGCCCAAGGTCTCTTTCGTTTGCGGGTTCAAGCCTACAATCCATTGTAAAAATAGAAAGAAGAAAAAACAAGCATCTGTTTGCTTAGTGAGTTGCATTAAGCCACATCTGCACGTTTCAGCATGATATACATTCCAAGCGCCTTCATGCCTGGGACCCCTTGGAGGCTGCGGCAGATAGCAGACACCACCGAGTCAGGCGTGCTGAATCCGCAGTGCACACGGATCTCTGAGTTCCTCAGAGACAAACTAGCAAGCTAGACTTCATGAATTTCACAGCCTGCAGATACAAACGTGTTGCTCCTTTAACTGTTCTTTCAACTCAAACCAGAAGTTGTCCACGTTCTGTGCTTCACTAGCTAAATCCTGTGTACACAGTGACCGTGAACCCTCTTGTTCTCATCATTACCTTGTATCGTTCCAGTCATGGTGCGAAGGGAAAGTAAGATGCAACATATGCAATCCTGTTGGTCAACGAATCGGCATATAGAAATATAGTGTGTATATATTAATATATATATATATGTGCTTTCGAAATCCTGAAATGACCTGTCAAAACTAAAGTATGTTCAAAACTTGTCCAATTCCCTGGGAAGGCAGCCCAGAAATCCTTCTGAGCCTCGTCTCATCCATTGCCTGCCGCACTTTCTCGCAGTTCTCGGGCACAGCATCAAAATACACACCACTCCAGGTCTTCCCACCTGAGGCTGCAACCGGTGGAGGGCTCTGGAGGAAAATGTAGCTGAAGCGAGCCGAGGTGACATGAGATATGTTCGCTGATTGGTTCAGCTCAGCTGAAGTGTTTCTCCTTCGCCTCTTCAGGCCATGCAAACAGTGATATCTTGCGAGTCCAGCAAACATATGGACAAGATCTTGTCTGACATTTCCTGACGCCTGGAACTGCTCAACTTTTCCAAAGGTCTCAACAAGCACACTAGGTGCAAAGACAAAAGACCACACACTCTGCACCTGAAACAAACCCGCAAACCTTCAAAGGCAATTTCATGCAGGGTACATTATAACTTTGGTGTTGGCTTGCACAGAGTTTCCTTGGTTGACAAACAGTTGCACTTCCCAAATCGCTTAATGGACAAAAGCCTGCACCGCTACTGCAACAGTTCCATCTACTCCTGTGGTCCGCAAAAAAATGAAATTAATGACAAAAGTCATCCAAAATCCCACATCACACGTCCCAATCCAAGACAATATTGAATTGCAGGTGCGGGGGACCGGGGGCCCAAAGAACGGAAAGGAAAACCACATGTTTTGACGAGTGATGCAGGATCTAGTCCGTCAACCATATCACAAATGCAAAGATCTCTCGCTCGATGCAAAATATGAAGTCACACCACTTCCGAAGTTCCGATGGAAAAGAGGCGGGGGTATGGTCACGACACAAAAGCGGGTGTTGACGTTCGCGTTCATGTTTCTCCGCTTCGGTCCATCTTTGGGATCAACGTGATGCTTGACAAACGCTCTCGCAGCACCCTGGCCGCCCTGGCCTGCAAAGTTTCGCAAAATGTTGCCCAGGGGGTCCTGAGAAGGAGGGCCCGCACTGCACATGACGGACAGTGAAGAGAACATGAGAGCCTGCTTGGATGTTGGATGTTGGATCAACAAGAAAGGATCAAGTTGTATTATATATATATATATGTTTAATGGAATACACGAGAGCAGGAGAGGACATGGGAGGACCCTTTTTCTCATGTCCAAAAGCTGCGCCCGTTCCAAGGTTCATCGATAGACGCATCCCCTGCACCGATGTTGATAAGGATCTTTGTTGCTTCAAGTTTGGCCTCGCGTGGATTGCTGCACTGAAACATCCGATAAATTGCATGGGAAAAAAGGAACATGTCGTTGGAACAAAAAGAGGGTGAAGGTTTCGAGAAACACCAAAAACGACCAAAGCTCCAAATTCGAGCATAGGTTGGCCATCGCTACTTTTTCGGGTTGGAGGCCATTGCTATTAAGGTCATGACGACATGACGATCATAAGAAGCTTAAACACCTCGCCCGGCCTGCAGCAAAGAATAGAGGCCTCGAGGCAGGACATTTGATGGACCCCGTGTTGCAAGCATGGCTTTGTCGCATGGGTCGCATGTGTGTTCACTTCACTGTAGATGTCACTTTCATGACATGGATTCTTCAAAGCTGCAGTTGTTGCTTTTCTCAGAGTTCCGACAAAGCGGCGATAACGGCGCCTGTACGAGTGGGTCTCTACTGTGAGTTTCTCCAACCCGCCAAAACGATCCTTGGCTTCCAAACTGCCACCCAGGCCACGCAACGGCTCCTCTCGCAGGTAGCGCCAGGCAGGCACTGCGCAGTGCGCACGGTCCGCCGTTCCGAAGCGGTAGCGGAGCCGCGCACGCTCGTAGCCCTCGAAGTCGTACCAAGAGTTCTCAGAAGGCAGCCTAGGATGGTTGAACCTGTGAAACAGCAGAGGAAAGGCCTGGCCAACCTTGGAGAAGCTCCGAGTCTCTTCCAAATCCAAGCTCTGCTTGTTGATTTATAAAGGTTTCGGGGCTAAGTATGTTGGACTGTGACATACAATGACTCCAGACATTCGAACGCTCTGACTATCATTCGTTCAGTGGCGTGGAGCAAAGGAAGTCCCTGACAGCCGCGCTCAGCGTTTCTCCTGGAGATTTTTCGCCTGAGCGCTGGCGAAGAAGGAATTCATCCAACAAAGTAAGCCTTTCAATATCTCTAATAAGGTCGTTCAAACAAGCACCCCATGTTTGACCAACCTCCCCTGCTGTCAAAGCCGCACTCTGGCCACTGCCCCTCTGTAGCCCGCCAGCCACGCTTGCGGTCGGGGCGGCAGGACACCAGAGAAACACAGTCCTGCCACTGAGGTCAAAACATCAGGAGAGGATTGAACTATGTTCTCTTCCAAAAAGTTCCAAAGTATCTTGCCCTCCAAAAGCAGGTGCTGTAGTCCTTCTAGGGACCAGTTTCACTGTATTCTCCAGGCCTCCCGTAAGCCAAGATCTTTGTGACGGACACGCCGGAACGACAGACCTTGAGCCAGGCTCACAAGCGAACTGCCCCTACAGAAGGATTCCCGGCCACTTGTGGCATGTCAGGCTGTTTTACTGTACAACTTTCAACCTCAGTGTGTTCATGTACCCCCAAAGAATGAGGGGCTTGTGTCAGAAAAACAAACTGGAGAATTTGATTGACTCGGGTTCGGAGTTTGCCTCGAATGGCGGATGCAATCCTTAAATCCACAACTCTTGCAGTATCTTTTGCTGTGCCTGTGTGATCCTGTACTTGATTGAATTGCTACCGGGTCTTTATGCTTTATATCTCCACACCTTCTCACAATGAGAGCAAGCTATTTCCACAAGACTGTCAGTCTCAGTTCTTGCAAAATGATATCCGACTGTTCTTGTCCTTGGATTGTGTTTATTCAACGCATCTGAAAGTGTTTCTGAAAGATCAAAACCAATCCAAGGCTCGCAAGGCAAGATCGTTCTTACCTCGGGAACACGCCATCTGCTGGTAGATGCAATGTCAGAAAGCATGTCCTTACATTGATGAAAAGGCTAAGGTTGAGGCTTTTTGTGGTTTTCCTAACCTTTAGAGGCACATCAACAAGGGCCGCTCAATCTTTGAACAGGAAGATTACTCACAATGATCTAAGTTGTTCTCTCACTTCAGCTGAGATTCAGGAAGCCAAGTCTGTCTGCATTGGTTCCAGCTCGGGCGACGAGTAGCAACATTTCCTTATTTAGAGGCTTTCCCAGATGGACTTTTGGAGGCTCCTAATCGCGTGTCCACAGAAAACCCACGTGAAAAGCCAAAGGATGAGTGATATGGGGCTGAAGAGCGGGCAGGGCTCCTGCAACACCTCTGGCTTCTGAATTCTTCAGGGCTCACTCTCACTCTCATACTCACTCACTCAACCTTCTCCAAGCTTCTGATAGCTTTGCTGGTGGCTCCAACATTGTTTTCCTTCATTGCAGCACTCGACCCAGCTACCGTGGCTCCAGCAGCTTCCGCTTTGTACTTCTGCGCTTCTGCACGCTTTGGTGAGCAGCGTGAGCAGCGCTGCATGTGCCATGTGGGCACCGCCACATGGCGTCGCACCACACGAAGCAAAGAAATCAGTTCAATGGAGGTGTATCTGGACTAAGACTGTTCATTCATAATGCATCAGTTGTCCAACAACTGCGGCTAGAACCGAGCCTTTCAATTCACCCCAAGCAGATCCAACACATGCATCTCCCGAGAATATGATAAGAAAAGTGTTTCTCGAAGGCTCTTCATTTAATTGGGATATCTGTCAGCATGTGTGGCCCTGAAGCCACAACAACCATTTCTTTTGTTGCCCTTGTTGCTCCCTTTCATTGGGAGATGTTGACGCAACCCAAGCGCCATGCTCAGAGGATTCATTTCCGATCACTTTAAGAGCTCCAAGCCAAGGTCTTCGGCAACGAAAGCTAGAAGAAACATGGGCCAAGGAGTGGATTCGCTCCTTGGATATGTTCTTGAAAAAAGGTGTTTTTGTTGAAAAAGTCTAGAGTCAGTCTAGTTATATATTTTAGGTCTGAGACATCCATAGTCGTAAGTCCTGTATGGGTCCATGGTGCCGCCCAGTGACCAGCAGAAATCGAATACAACAGACTTAGATTGACGGGAAAGAACTATCTTTGAACCTCCGCTTGCTCGTTCTCACCAACGGAACCTGAAAGAATTGCGGGGTGGAGTCAGCGCCTGGCATCGTGAAGGTCAGCGCTGTAGGGAACTTGATCAAATCTGGGTCCGTGCTCGAGACCTGAGATCTCTTGCAGCCTTTTCGGACTTGGCTTGGCGGCTCATCTGCTTGTTTTCCTAGCGAAAAATGAAGGTCTAGTTAGAGTCTAGTATGTTTGACTCAGGCTTCCACTTTTGCAAACTCGTCTCAAAAAATGTATAACATTGTATAATATACAAAAACATTGCTGTTGGGAAGATTATGCATATTTGCTGGACCTACCATGTCTGCCTATTCAGAACATTCCCTTCAGCCCAAATTGGACTTTGGAACCACATGGAATCACTTGCCACTTGCAGCACTGAAATCCAAGGCATGTGTGAAACACTCTGTCCCGGCCAACTGAAAGCCTGCTAAGGAAGCGTGCTGAATAGATGGTGAATGTACCATCCGCATTGGTTGTTTGCAGGTCCTGGCCGGCCATTTGAGTACATTTCCCAGCAAGGCATTTATCAGGTCAGTCATGCAGCAAACACTGTTGTGGCCTAGCGAGAGGGCTTGAACACTTTGCAAATATGCCATAAAGCAACTTTGGGAATGCAAATTATGACTATGAATGATTTGGGCAGACTGCAGTAACTGTAACTTCTTCAGTGCTAGGGTAATCGAACACAAAGCACACATTCCCTTGCAAAGTCCATAGAAACTCTTGCGCTTAGATCATCATGGGAACCAACCCACTGCCCAACCACAAGGGTGTCGGCAGCACCCAGCTGATGGTAGATGTAGTACCACCTGTCAATTGGATTCAATCGGTCTGCGCAGCCTCTCTTCACTGCCAGTGGAGAGAAAAGAAATGAATACCTATCCCCTCCTAGAAGGAAGGGGGCGGGCTGATGATACTAAATTGGGCAAACGATCAAGCAAACGGGAAGCATGCAAAGCTTGCCAGCCCTCAGAGAGATATTGCGAGTGTTCTCAAATCTCCCCATTGCTTGGAGGATCTGCGACAGTAGGTGTCGGAATGTTTGCATTCGCATGCAGAATGTCTCTGCTATTCGATCCAGAGGGACACAAAATAGATTGGCACCTTCTGCTTTACACAAAGCCAGTACTGGATCTTTGGTTCATCACTCATGCTAGTTCTGACTCTGCAAAACCATCTTTCTGAGCAATATGTGGTCAGTAGACGATGTCAAATTTAATCAGAAGGCTGTTTGACATCAGTTTCAAGACCTTGCCCACAAAGTATAAGTCCCAAGGCACCTGGATTTGGCAAGCTGAAGATCCTTGGAACGTAGGCTGGGTAGAACAGTTTAATCTGGTCTTTCCGGTTCTTTTGAATGTAATCCTGAACAAACGGCTCACAGACATACTCCAGACTATCTTTGGCTGTCCAAAGCGTGGATTACAGTCAGGATCGGCACAATCCATACCCGGTGAAAATCATCTGCGCACTTCAAGAAGTCACAAATAAAGGGAAAATAGATTCTTCACGTTCAGTCCACCAGCTTCTAAGCAGGACCAAGACCAAGTTCCAGCGTCAACAACAGCTTTCACAGGACCTTTTGAAAGGGCATGGCTGGTCTATGACGTCCTATGGTTATCTATGGAGTCCCTTGAGCCGATAACCCTTACGCCAAGGCTGCCAAGGCTCAACTCCTGCCCCACGTTCACCGCCACGGAGACGCTTCCATCATACATTCCACTGAGTAATGTGTCAGAGCTGAGTTGTGAGCCGCCTGAGTCGAGCTTTGGCCACAGTTTTGGGTCTGAAGATGGGTGGGCCGCGTGGTCCTGGAGTTGGGTACAACTTGCGTAGCATCCTTGCTCCTAGTAGTAAGGCCAGGAGCGGCTAGTAGCGTCCTTGCTGTAGAACTTGCACCCATAAAATGCTTTCGATACTGCGCTTGACAGTGCATGATGACTTCAAGAAACAGCCACTGGCTGTGCCATAGCAGGGTTTTAAGAAAACAGCCATTCCACCTCAAGTGCTTTGTAGGCTCTTGCATCGGCATCCACCCATCATTCACCTCGCCTGATGTGAGGGTGTAGCTGTTCCCACTCCAGCCGCTCGCATCGGAGCTTCGCATTACCACTTGCAAAGACGTCGACTCACCTTGTCAATGTGCAGATCTTATGGTCTTCCTTGTTGCATAACCATGGGACAATGATGCTGAGAGCACCTTGCATGACATATTCAAGGCAAAGGATACCTCGCCAAATGGGGATCCTGAGACCTCCACCAATGTATGGAAAACAAATCAAAACACAGCACTGCCAGTCTCACTATGAAACAGAACCCAATAGAACCGAAGAGCCGAGGGCAATTTTCACCTCCCCGGGCTGTGGTGGTGTGGCTATTTGTTGGCCGATCAATACAAACCTTCAAACAGGTTTGGCATCGAGTGTAGCCTCTGCAACACGGCCAAAACCCCGCTCGCTTCCGACCCACCTGCGTTGCTGGCATTCCAAAGCTGATACTCAATCGGAGACCATCCATCAGCCATGCTATCCTCGGACCCGGGCCCGATGGACCTACCTTTCAGATCGATTGAGATCGGCATCTGTCCAGCAAGTTTTTTTGCAAAACCCATGGGAAACAAATAGGCCGAATAATGCCAAATTGGGAAGCGTCCAATCCTATGCAAACAAATAGGACACCGGTGGTGCTTCTGGGCTGAAGCATATAACACCCTTCAAAGGCTCTGGTGCACAGTTTTGGGGCAAGAACCAATCGGTGGCACAAACTTGAATAACCAGAAATTGGATTCAAAGAGCAAAGGTCATCAATCCTCCCCTCACCCATCTCATGAGCTAGCAAGAGGCGGTCATCTTCACTTGCAGAAGCCTCAAACGGTCAGCTCATGGTCAAAGTGCAAAGGATACCATAGTGCGGAAACCTAGTACAGGAAACTTGCGTTAGACAAAACCTGGCACTGCCTAGGGTTCTTGTGGCGGTTATGCGCTGAAGGTGGCTTTTGGGGACGGGGCACCAGCGGTTGGAACATGATGATGGCCGAGATGGCCTATGTCTTTTGATGCAGTATGATGGCCGTAGGATGCAGTAGGGCTACATGCATTGAGTGGTGCAAAGGGTCCGGCAACGCCAAGGCTTTTGCACTTGCGACAATTCAGGAGTCTTGTCGATTGTGTGGTCTTTGTAAACTTGTGAAGTAAGTCGCCTTTGGCTGAATACATATTTGCAAACATCATGTTGTTTGGTGTGCGCTGTTTAGAATAAATGTAAAGCACCTTGACCTTAGCAGAGAGCTCTTGGATTTGTGGAAAAGATCTCAAGATCTGGAACCTGCACTTGCACCTCCTTAAGACATGGATTCGCTGCTTCCCAAAAAGAATTCACTGCAATGGACCCCTGGCGATGTCGACCAATCCACACCTCGGTGTCAGGTGCGCGTGTGTGTGTGTGTGTATATATACGTATATATACCATAGATACATATGGAGTATGTATCACCAATAAGATTTGTGAGACATCCTAATCGATTTCTTCCTGGAGAAACAAGAGCCAGTGTCCTCTGATAAGAATCTTTAGCTGAAGATGTCAGAAACTTATTTCATCAGTGGTTTCTGAAAACTGCAGCTTTGGCACGTAGCATCTCCCGCGACCTGGTCGCAGCATTCCCATCCCTCCGGCATCAATAAGCAAGACGACCCTTGCGGCTTGAGGACCTAATCTCCTTTAGCCGGATGGAGAAAACAACCAACAAAACTACTATATAGTGTTAGTCAGTCTGCCAAGCTCATTGAGGTTGACTAAGTTGCATCTTCAATGACACTTTTGACAATCCTTGCTGGCGATCGAACTTGAAACCAAACGTAAAGGGAACAAAAGGTAAACACTCAGATTATCTGCAGCTGCTCAGAAGAGGCAGGAAATTCTGCCACACGGTTCCAGCCAAGCAACTAAGGAAAATGTCCTTCTGCACCTTACAGAAGACAGGAGCGTTTTCCACACTTCAGCAAAACAGACTATGTTTGAAGCATGTTTAGTTATATAGATACGAGCAACATCTGGCAAATGCCTCAAATTGCGATGCAACTTCGATATCTAACTCTCTAGTAGGAGCTATTACCAAAACTTGTTGCGAGATATCTTTGAAATTTCAATTGATACTCTTCATCAGTGGTAATTTCAATGCTGCAGTTTTACCTGCACCCATTTGTATTGGAATACATACATATTGTTAAGTTTGTGTAGGATGTTTGTGTCCTGATTAAAACAAATACAGCATACTATCTGCAATGTTACAATACCTTGATTCTATCAAGGTTGGGCGAAAAGAGTTCTCGGGACTGTCACGTTCGTAGCGACAAAAAGTCCCGGTGAAATCGAGTGCAGGGAAAAACCCTTCTGCGAAGGGAAAAAACCCTGGTAACGGAGGTTGGCTTCGACAAGTCCCGTCACAGCAAGGAAACAAAAAGTGATCGGCTACAAACCGGATGGCCAAAAAGAAGCAACCGTGTAACTGAAAGGAGAAGGGGACGCACCCCGAAAGCAGAGGAGCTCATCTCAGTGTCTGGGCCGCTCCATCATCACAATGAGAGTGGGCCTGGTGTCCACAGCAGGGGTCGAGGCTCACGCTCAGCCAACAAGCTCAGCGCGTCGACGAGGGGCTGCGCGGGCCCGATGGCTGCGAATGATCACAGACAACTCCTGCAGCAGGTCGCTGTGCAAAGTGGCCGAGTCATCCCCAGTCCGAGCAGCGGCACTGCAAGCGATCTGTAGCAGGAGTTGGCTGGCGGCCCGCTCCCACGCACCAGTAGACTCCGCCACCAAGGGAACAAATTGCACGCCTTGCTGGCTGCAAAGGTGGGCAGTGTTCTGCTTTGGAAGCGGCATAAGCAGTGGCTGCTGCCAATGCTGCTGCCGCGCCCTGTGCCAGCTGGGGGGCCGTTGGCCAAATCAAGCGCAGCAGGGGAGCCGTGGAGGCTGGGTAAAAAGATGTCAGCAGGACGGCGGTTCTGGGTGCCCACATCCCCCGGTCGTTGTGGAAGGAGAAGGCCTGGCCGTTCTTTCTCTGGCTGCAGGCCTGCCCGGTCCGCCCACTTGCAAAGGGCATCCCGGACCGCTGTATGCCGCAATGTCTTCTCACCACCAGCAACGCAGGTGCCGGCGTGCAGAGATAGCCTGTCCAGGATACCATTACACTGCGGGCACCAAGAATCTGCTGTGGCCTCAGGGATAGCGAGTCGATGTCGAAGTTGTGTGACAAAGATTGCAGTTTCCATGCGCGTCACACCGCCTGGCTCGGTGATGGAGGAAGTGGCGAGCTGGGCTTGCCAAGATGCCTCATCCAGCAAGCGGGTAAGGGGCCCCAGGGGCTAAGGGGTGCAGCAAATTCGCATTCAAGGCCGCTGTGGCTTGAGTGCAAGCAGGGTCCACATCGACCTCTTCACAAGCCGAGGCGCAACCCCCGACGGAAGCCAAGAACGCAGCAGGCGCATCAAGCGAGCTGCTCCGCACCCCAGCTCCGGCAAAGGCCAAGCCCCGCCCAACTTGAGCTCGCTGCATGGCGGTTAAGTGAAGGCCCGTGATGCTGGAAAAAGCTGCCTGGATCTTCAGATCAAAAAGCTGGAGGGCCTCGTTTTGGCAATGCGGTGGGTTGCAGCGCATGCTGTGAACTAGGCGGCCGTAGCCAGCACAGGATCGCAGCAGGCGCAGCCCGACTTGGGCATCGCCCAGCGCAGCAAGGGCGTCAAGCGAAGGGCCAACTGCCTCAACCCGCCCCTTTGTGTGGGCATCAACGAAGGCGTCACCACCAATTGCTCCACCAAGAAACTCGAAATCCCGTTGCAGCCTCGAGGAACCATCACGGCCAGAGAGGAACTCGGACGGCCAGCGCGGCACCAGGTCAGCATGTTGGAGCTGGCCAACTGCAACGGAGTTCTTGAGTGAGTTGGTGAATGGCTGTAGCAAACAACAATGGTCCCAAGCAATCTGTTTTTCCCACCGGCTGACGAGATGACAGCAGTCCCAAAGCGCAGGGCAGAAGGCTCCTGGTAGCACCATGTGACCCAACGGGCAAGCCCAGAAAACTGGACTGTCGCACTCTCCAGGACGTGGTGGCGGGAAATGCGGTTGAAGGCATTGGCAAAATCCAGTTTGAGGAGAACTTTGTTGGCGGCGGCTCCGTTCCGCTGGGTCCAAGCCCGCACGGTGTGGATACCGATCACTTGCCCCCTCAGCGTTCCAGCTAAGTGGGAGTCAACATGTGCTATCAAGGTTTGTTTGCTGGTCCACTCTTTGGCCCGTGTGGTGTCCGAGCAGGGGCAGCCAGACACAGGGCAATACAGGCGTCCAGCTGCGCCGACCCCGTCCACCACCATAGCATCCTGCGACAGGGAGCGGTCACGCCGTCGGAGGCTGGGCCTCTCGCTGCCGACGGGGGTCCCGGGTTCGCAGCTTCTCCCAGTCTTTGCCCCCGCAAGGGCCATCCAGGCCACTGAGGTTTGCGGCTGAGATGTTGCCCCCATGTCCGGCGTTGTTGCTCAGGCAATCGTCGTGGGGCCCGGCATGGGAAGGAGACCTGCAGCCGAAGATGCTTGGGTGGAGCGGGGCTCGCAGAGAGGCTGTGCAAGAGGGCGGTGAGGCGTTTCCGCTCGCGCCGCCCAATGCAGCCGACCCGTCCAGCGTCAGCGCGAGGAGCCGGTCCATCAGGAGCGCTCCAGGCAGTGACAATGGCCGGGCCGGGGTAGCCAACCGCGACCAAGCAGAAGGTGCATCGAAGGAGGAGGCGGGCACACATGGCGCCCCGATGCCAACTCACTCACCGGGGGGTCCCTCCACTGCAAGGATCATGTAAAAGGGGAAGTCCCGCACGCAGAGGAGGAAGCCCACGGGCAGCCGAGGTGCCCCCCGGTGTGCGAGTCAGCCGATGCGTCGGGAAACCCTAGGAGCGGGTGGCAAACTGAAAGCTAGCCCTAGCTGACTAAAGTCATTTGGAAACTATAAGAATCTTAAGTCATTCACAACAGGTAATTTCAAGTCAATAATAACTGAATTGAGTCTGTACTGGACCATGAACTTTATGTAACTTATCTTTAAATACAACTCTGTCAAACTCAAGAACCCTTTCTCCTCCTTGAGAGAAAGTACCATACAGAAAGGTAAAGAAATACAATCCAGAAATGGATGAGAATAGTGATTGATCTCCAGCCCTGGACAAAGGGCGAACTTGTATGTGTATCTAAAAAATAAAAAAACGCAACAACCAATGAAAGCATTGATTCGCAAGGTCTTCTTGGGTTCACAAGACATAGGACATAGAGGCATGGGAATTGGTAAGTTGAACAAAAATGCAGATGGAGCATTGAACTCCAAGTCGTTGGGTCCCTTTTCTGGTCATTAAACACTCGTTCTGAAAAGAACAACGAATTAAATGTATGTTCAGGGGCCCCGCCGTTGAATTCTGTGCAGTTTCAGACGTCTTCAAATGACTTAGAGCAACCCGAGACGCTGAAGGAGCAACCAGCAGGTTTGCCAGATTCTCCGGATCAGCTTAGACATGGATCCATGAAGAAACACCGAGAAGGTGGATTGGCTTTGAGATGGATATATAAGTCAAGGCAACATATGGTTTAGCCTTCTGAACGCGAAAACCGCATGGCTGAGTCCTGTTCCCATGCTGCCCTTGCAGTGTAAAATGGACAGCTAGTGCAAGTGCTCTTTTTTGGGCCAAGGAGTCCATTTGATCCTCCCAAATCTACACAGCATGAAGGGCACAGCGTTCACCTGGAGCCACACACATTCATGAATGATTCCATTGTCCACAAAATCACAATGAAGCTTGGAAAAAAATCTTTGTTGCAAAAGGAATTACCGGTCATTGTGCAAGTGCAATTGTCAAAATTTCACACGAAAAGAAACAATACTCAAAACCATATAGCCTTAAACATGTTCAAGCAAGACCACACCCAGCGGAACATCACTATGAAAAGTCCAGAGCCCGCAATGTTGTCAATGCAAAATTGATTTAACTTTATTGCACAAGCAAACAGCCTACGCTTCATCGCATCAACAAAATCGTTGTTCGATGTTGTGCGTTTACATTCACCCTCTGTGACACCAAAAAGTTTGTCAATTGACTAATGTGTCAGTTTGTGCAAAACTTCCAAAAGTGTACACACTATATAAACATTCGCTTTTCCTGCAACCGTAACCACAGGCTGGCCAGCTTCTGTTTTATCATTATGTGACTGTGAATGCCTTGCTTTCGTGCCTTCCGTGTGTGTTGGTGGCTGAACACCACCAACTTCAATGGGTTCTTTCCACCACTGCACGTTACGAGGTCGAAGCCAAACGTCACAAAGGAAACCGGAAGTACAAGAGGGTGAAAAGAGTCGGAAACATGAGAGGGTGAGACAGGTAAAAGCCACAATGAATTAAGCCGCCTCTCAACTGATCTTGTCCATGTGAGTCATTTGCAAGTACGTCCAGCTTAAGAAAGTTCAGCCAACATAGTTCCTTTAAGGAAAGCAGTAGAGTTGAGCGACAAAGAATCGACTGAGCACACTCAAATGACTCAAACACCTCAGGAGTTTTCGCAACTGCGACAAATGTCAACTTTGCATTGTGTTGTACAAGTACATGGTGGCTGATGAGGAAACAAAAACCACTAACGTCGAAGAGGCATGGACGGCGGTGCAAAGGTGATCGCAACGTGCCAATGTCATCAACAACAGACTGGTGTCTATGCATCGGTTTGCCAAAATCTATCAACGCGTCACTTTCGCAAACGTTCAAAGCGTGGTACACGGGCTGTAACGGATCCAACAAGTTGCGAACCCAACAACGCACACAATTCAATTCACAAACGAAGGCCAGCATGAAGAGAAGCTGCAAAGCGCCCCCAAAATGTGTCTCTTTTGCAAGCTCCAAAGCACCCAGTCAAGGTGGGCGCAAGCAAGAACTTGCAAGTGACCACCAATCATCCCGCTCACCAGCGACACGCCGCGTTTACACCAGCATGTTTCGCGCTCTCCAATCGCCATGCAACGCACTTGCCACCACGGCCGCGCAAATGCGCATGGCACCGTGACATCACGGACGCAATTCCGCGGGCGTATCGCTGGTTGAGCAGAATCATTGGCGGTATCGTGTGACATGATTGCTTGTGTGGGGGCAGACCGTGTGGCGAATTGCGTTCATGATGTCGCACTGCCATGCGGATTTCGCGGCCTTGATGGGAAGTGCGTTTGCGTGGCGCCGTGCCACTGCGGAGCGCGAAACACGCTGGCGCAAACGAGGCGTGCCGCTGGTGAGATTGGTGGTATCATGTGATGCATTTGCCGCTTGTGTGTGGCGGACCGTGTGGCGAAATTGCGTTCGTGATGTAGCACCATGCGGATTTGCGCGGCCTTGGGCGATGATTGGTGTGGCATGATGCGTTTGCTTCTGGTGTGTGAGCATGTTTCGCGCTCTCCATGGCACGGCGCCACACAAACGCCTTGATGTCAGGATGTTCTCGCAGCAATCTGACGCCACATGGCCACTCTTGCCACAACGCTTGCAGCGTTTTTGGAGGAAACAAGCGGAGGAGCATCTCGCCACATTTTGTTGAGAAAGTTTTTTTTTCCACGAGTACGGACGCCGTGTGGGCATGGTGCCCAGGTCATCGTTGAAGGAAGGGAAGAACAGACAGATGGTGGAGAAAGGAACCAAGGCCCCAAAAACCAACCCAAAACCAAACACCCAAGCCCGCAGGCCGAAACTCCACCATCTTGTAGTCTTCCCTCTACACTAGGTGAAACGTGTGAAACTGAGACTAGTGGCAATTAGTGGGCCTGAATTCGCAAAAGAAAAGTACTGCAGCGCAAGCTGTGTTCATGGAAAGCCGCCTAGGAGGCTTCAAACGGACTTTCCTTACCAAGTGTTGGTGACCAGCGGCCACACCACAGTGTGGCAAAACAAGGTCACTTTGCAGGTCAGGTGTCTCGCAATGCTCCAGCAGTGGTTGTAGTTAGGCCAACCGAATGTGCGAAGATCTAAGCAGCAATCCGTGGAAAGACCATACTTGCAGCACAACCCGTTCAACCGGTGGCGCATACAAGGCCAGGCACATGCTGCCGGACAGAATTCAAATACGGCGGCAATTCCTAGCGAGAGAAGCCTGCAGCTAAGGGTGAACCGGGCACCACCTCCCCGTGGGGAGGCAGACCCAACACCCTTCGGCACTCAACAGTGCCAAAAGGGGATGTCACTTGAGTCTGTGAGGCGCTGCGTAATGGTAAAAAGTGAGAGGTGCGTGCAAGGCCCGTGTGAAACCTGTGAAACATTGAGCTCTCCTAGCATGATATCTGTACCTCTTTGTACAAAATTGGAAATGTCGGACATCAACAGCGGGAACTAAGGTTCCCCCTGGGCATCCTTCATTGCCACTATCTACCACCCGCCGTGTAGGAACGCAGAACTGAGGTTCTCGCTCCTATCGGCTCACTTCGCAGCGGATGGCGAGAAGAGGTCATGGTTCTACTTGGTGTCTTTGCATTTTGCTTGCCGTATATGCCTGGAAATCCTCCTTTTCTAATGCTCGAAAACTGGCACTTGGCTCAACTCACTGCTCACGTCGCACTTGCTTCTCTCCTGCCTCTGAAGAGTAGCTTCGTTGAGGCTGGGTCTAGATAGTTTTCTCGCCAAAGGTCGTTTGCGTTATAGGTCATCGAATGCTATGGTGCCGAAAAACTTGCATCTTGGGGCGACCACAACCCGTAGCATTTGACACCTAAACCAGTGACCGACTAATGTGTCTGGCAGGTGGACGATTTGCAGGTGTCGACATCACCGCCACGCCGAGACCCTTCTCTATCCGACAGCCTCTGGGCACTTACTCCATGCATAACGGAGGGCAACTATGGTTAGTTACTCGTGTTGAGGAGTACTGTTTCGCAATTGCTGGCCTATTCCGGACCCGAGCTAAGGCTCGCACCCAGACTCTAACAAAATTGATAGCAGGGCCACGACAGCTGTGGATGGAGGGATGGTCTTCTATCCTAAACCAGGGGTGTAGCCCATGTCTGGGATCATATGCAGCCAGGGTGGCCATTTCATGGCCGGACAGATGGCAAAAGCATTTTCTTCAGCATAAACCCCTCGCCATCTGCGTGTTCCGGGCATTTTGACCAGCCTTCGAAGGGCAGTGCAGTCCAAGAAAGCCCTACTTCCAATATACTTGAGAGCAGGCGGAATGGCAAGCTCAACAAGGGCGGCACAGCTCATAAAGGCTTTAACTCGGATTGTATGGAGAGTTGTCGGTAGGAAGACTTCCCGGAGGCTAGTGCAGTGGCCAAAAGTGAATTCCGGAATTTCTTCAATCATGGTGTTACAGAGATCAACACTCTTAAGCAGTCGACAACTGTCACAAGCGTGCGCTCCTATGGCTACAAAGTGCTTTGGGAGAGCAAGTGTGTAGATGCCTGTAGAGCTGAGGCAGCCCGGGGCTAGCTCTCTGGTCCTGTCTTGCAGGGTTAACCCGTTCAATTCAGATCGGGGGGATGGAAGCTCACTCACGGTGACCTCTGCAAGGTTGATGCACCCTTGGAAGAGGTATTGCCCGAAATTGGTTTCCCCATTGAACGCGTTTACAGCTCCACCCGATGCATACACACGCTGCAAGGAACAACATTCCGAAAAGGCTTTGTAACCAAAGTCGCGACAACCCGGAGCCAAGACACTATTTAGGAGTTTGCAGTCCCGAAAGGCATTATCTGCAATGCCTACCACTGTGGCCGGCAGTTTGACAATGCGGAGTTGCCGGCAATCTTGCCACGCCTCTGCTCCAATGAGCCTGATCCCTGACTCGACGCTAACGTGTCGCAAGCGTGGCACACCTGCAAAGGCCCATTCTGGGACAGTTTCTTCTGCATTCATTGGGACATGAACAGCTAAGGGGACTTGATCAAGAGGATAACCACCGAGCTGTTCTTGTTCTGGCAGGGTAACACTACAGTCCCTGAAGACAATGGTGTATTCTCTACCTTGCTGCAACTTATCCCAAATTGGGTCCTCTAGGTAGGTTTGCGTGGTGGTGTGTAAAAAGTCAATGACGCACCCAAAAACTTGGAGGTCAGTGACCGAGGCCAGATAATCCATAACCTGGTCTTCTAAATCTGTAAATCGGTCGAACTTGGCGACACTGAGAGAGACCTTAAAGGTTGCCCCCGAAAGCGTAGTCAGCAGCAGGGGGCATTCCATGACTGGCTCCTTTTCGATGGGAGTGCTACTCATGGATGAACTGTCAAGCTCTTTTTGCGGCAGGCTATTTGCTATCATTGTGCGAGCCACTGGTGTCCAGTCTGCACATGGGCTGTTCCTACGGCCGGGGATGTTTCCTTAAGACAGATGCTAAGGCACCTACCTTGAGCCTCTCATGGCTTGGCATAATGCTTAGGGTACACATGGTTTAGCTCCTTGTCAAAGCGGTTGGCATGGCAATATTCCTGGCAGTGTAGCTCCGTAGAGTCTACCATGGACTGGCATGATATTGGCAATATTCGTGGCTGAGTTCCTCG